TAAGGTCTGAAAGGATTAGATGGAACGGAAGGGGTCAGTGCCCACTTATTGTTCATGTCCCAGCCTCGGTTCATCGAGCTGCTCATGAATGTATTAAGTTTGCTGCTGAAAGAAAAGCCAGAAAAGTTGGCCGAGATGGGATGTCTGTCAGAATATAAAGGAAATGGACAGTATCGGCCCATCGAGGTCAAGGCTGAAAGGGAGTGAGCTGTGTTCCTCTGCGGGTGTAGAAATGGGGGCAGCATGCAGGGAAAGACTCACAGGATCTGATACATATTGGCATCGGGCCAATGAGACTGTGTCAGTCAGGAGGTACTCTCAGGAGGGTAGACTTCTCTGTGTTAACATATGTTCCACTAGAACCATATAATCCCCTTGCACTTAACATGTATGTATTACTCCCCATTTGAACAAGTAAATGTCCCCTCATTAGGACTCCTTCACGTTATTCTGAGATAAAGACAGATTATATTTTTTGCTTTTTATACACAGAAATCAGAGGTGTTTAAGATAAGTTTTTCTGGAGATACCCCCATTGCCTCAGTTTAAGCAGAGCACAACAGCACAAGAACTACCTGAGAAATATGACCAATGGAGTGCAATCATTGCATTGTTTTTTTTGTATGTAGTCTCATCAGGACAATAGCTGCAGGGCTAATCTCAGCAGGAGCTAAGTCCAAGCACAGATTTGCAGTGCAAATTTAAGGGGGGGCGGGGCTGCGGTGGCCTACGTGGTGCACACATGGCACCAGGGTGAGCCTAATCACAGGCTCCCAGTAACCGTTACAAAGGGCTAGAGGGGTGGGGGTGGTCCCCATCCCCAATGAGGGTGACGCATTTCGGTGTGAGAATCAGAGGTAGCCTTTGCTAAGACATCAAGACTCATCTTTTGCTTTCTTCGTCATGATCTCCCTTTCTCATGCATACACAGTGGGCATAGACATGGCAGCGTCACATTGTTGTTGCTCTCCCTCTGTGTCAAACTTCCAGACAGTTTCATCCCTCCCATTTCCTTTCTCCTGCAGTTTCTGTGGATTACTGGGTTTTTCCATTGTTCTGTCTACTATCAGACCACAACAGCGTGGCACTCCTTTCCTTTATAGTGCAGTCACTGGAAAGTTGGCAATCTATTTAAAGTCTTATATTTAATCTTTTTAAATGTAAGCTTGTAAAACTTTAACTTTGTCTACTTTCATTGTTCTCTCCTCACTACTTCTATTTGTTTGACAGATGGACCAAGGGACAAAAATATTTTTAAAAAAGTAAAACATTTTCAGGCTATAAGTAAATATTTGCAGGCTATTTTTATATCCAGAGGTACTATCTTGGGTTTGGATTAAGAGTCATATTTAGAATAAGAGGAGTTTATGCATCTTGATGCCTTGATCAAAAGTGATAGACGGATGGCTCACTGTAAACTGACAGCTTTATCAGGTAAACTTGATAATAGAGGCTTAGCACCCATGTGAGCTTCAATTCTTTATGGCTCACGTTTCATAAGTAGGTTTTGCATAAGGGAGATGCTGATTTTCCTGGTGCACATCTATGATCCCGTTTCCACTACATCCCAAAGGTGCTCTTTTGTATTGCTCACTGTGGGCGCCACTGATTTACAGTAAACTCATCAACATGTGCAAGAAATCTGACCAATAATTACAATACATTTTAAATAGGAACTTAAAATGATAAAGTTATCCACAGTAATGCCAGTGTCTTTAAGATGGTCCAGCAAAATATCACCTTTTAGCCGAATTTTAACTGGTCTACTATATTGTGGATAGATATTACATTTTATCTCATCTCTTTAATGTCCATAACTGTATTATTTTTCTATAGTGTGTACTGAAAATCTCTTGGCTTGTTCATCCTTGTGAAAGAGACTTTAGCCTAAATGATTTACCTAGTTAAATAAAGGTAAAATTAAAACCCATGAGTGCTGTGCCATTGTGAATTATCCTGCTGGAAAAGAGAAAATATCAGAAGATGTAAAAATATGCAGATGGTCAGTAACCACTATCAGAGAATCTAGAGTGTTAAAAATGTACTAAGGGCTCACGGTGTGCCAATAAAATATCCTCTATTCAGTTTTAGCCTGAATTATAGAAACAAGGGTGGATTCAGGCTTTAGGTTATTTACACAGAATTCTGATTTTTAAAATTGAAATCAAGACATGTGATCAGGAAAACATTTTCCAATCTCTCACAGTCTGTGTGAACGTATACCCAGTTTACTTTTTTTAGCTGATAGAAGTTTTACCCAACATGGTCCACGGCTGCTGCAGACCATCTGTTTCAAGATTCCAAATGATTTACGTGCAGAGCTGTTATTCTGCATGGTGTGGCGCTAGCAGGTTCTTCTCGTTATATTATTGTCTATTTTCCTTTGATCACTTAAATTTACAAGGCGTTTCCAACCTTTGTGGATGGGGGAAGCTAATTAGCTTCTAATCCAGCCTAAATACAGCCAACATGGTTTATATATAATACAATTATTGGTTTATACATAGGCTTCTGGTATTAAAGATAACATAAAATGTGCTTTATTTATTATTTAGTTGTTGGGAGTTTGAAATAAACATGATCGATAAACTCAGTAAAATATTCAAATCTGAATTAAGCTGGACAATAAAAAAAATAGATACAGGTTTATTGATTTCTTTTACAATTGATATATAAGAATGTACAACATCTGTCCAAAAGTTCTAAAATTATTTTGGATTTTCTAGTTTAAAGCTTTCTAGCTTTCTCTAGGAAACTGAGGAAGAGAGATTAGTGAACTTAGTCATATGTATCATTCAAATATGATTGTAGAAAATGTCAATTGAATGCATTTATTTCTATTATGCAAAAAGTAATCTAAAAATAACTTAAAATTAGGAAAACAGTAATGAGAAATTAATAATGAACAATAGATTTTCATACAAAAAGAAATTATTGATATATAAAGAATTAAGTTAAAACTCCTACGACTTTGCAATTAAGTGATTTTTCAGTAACGTTATAAAAAAACACATACTTTGTACATCTCCAACACTTAAATGTTATTCCAAAAAGGTTAAGCAGACAATTGAAAAATGCAGCAAAGAATCATTTTTATAATTTTTGATTGAAACATTTTGATAATCAGAACCTAATGATGAACAGGCTGTAGATCAATTTCAAACAAATTTCAAACAAATTTCTGATACTATTGTTTTATTGCAAAATAAATTCCTTGGTGCACTTGGAACTGTGTAGCAAGTCAATTTTCTATGACTTATGTCAATTTTAAATGCAATGATGATAGAAAAAATATTCTTCCAAAAAGGTCATTTAGATTAATTTGCCAGTTTTGTATATAAAAACAGCTAAATGAATAGCTATACTTTTATGGAAAATCATTGTGCTGTTCCCTATATGCCTTGTGTTGCTAATAAGCTTCAATTTATACTGGTTATAACATCTGATTTGCAGCAAAAAACACTAATAATTCATTGTTTTATTCAGCTGAGTATAAATTCACTTATTAAGAAGTTTAAATCCACCCTTTTTCCAAAAATGTTTCCATAAACCATCTGAAGTCCTATGCAATGGTGCAATTATCGGTAAGCAGAGTATACAGTTGCTCAGAGGCCCCCGACCTCTTAGGGGCCCCGTCGCTGACACCTGGTTGATCCTCTATGCAATTGTGGACTAGGACTTTTCTTTGCAGATGTTATGGTCCGAAAAATTAGTTTTGAAGCCAACTGATATAAAAGTGACTGACCGGACCTTATTTATAAAGCAACACATGGCAGATTTCAACATGATGGTGAGCCGTTCAAACATGACACCAATAGCAAAGCAGACAGTAGTACTTTTAATTACTATGTTAATAACTGTGTATAGTTCATTAGACGATTGGTAAAAAAAACTACACTCATATAATATGTTTCAAACCGCAATAAAGATCTTAAAAGAACGACGTAGTTGAGTGTTTTATTTTTTACACTACGTCTTGGAATTACGGGTAATCCACTGGCGTTGTACTTCATATGGGGCCCATCCAGATAATGTTGCTTACGGGCTTATTGTTGTGTCGTTAGGCCATTGGTCCTATGTCCAGTTTGTGACATGCTAGATAAAGGAGAGCGCAAACACATGAAGCAAAACGTCTGTACAGATGAGAAAATGTAGGATTCTGACCTATGTGCAAACACTGTTTGGGAAACATTGAAAAACATCCTGAACATATATAGTTGTTATGCTAAAACACGACGGTGGCAGCATCATACTCGAGTATTTCTGGTGGCCAACTGTTCAGAATGAGAGTTAAGGAGCCCTGCTCTGGTAAGTTATGTGTGTTTAGTTTTTGTTTCTCTGTCACTCCTGCTAAGGCAAGGCAAAGGCAAATATATTTGTATAGCACAATTCAGCACAAAGATAATGCAAGGTGCTTTACATGATTACAATATAGGAAAATAAAACAGAATCAAATCAAGTAGGAAAATAAATAAATAAAAAATAAAATAAAAAATGCAGAAACTAAAAAGAACAGTAAAAACAGTTGGACTAAAAATACAAAAGTTGAACTAATGACGTTTAAGTTGAACTGTTTAACGAGAACAATCGGGGGCAATCCTAAACAAATGTGTTTTTTGTCGTGATTTAAAGGAACTCAGGCTTTCCGCACTTTTACAGTTTTCTGGAAGTTTGTTCCAGATAAGTGGAGAATAGGAACTAAATGCTGCTTCTCCATGTTTAGTTCTGGATTCCAGGTATGCAGAGCAGGCTGAGTATTTTATTTTTATTTTATACTCATATTTTAATATACTTGGAGCTGTGATATGGAGCTGAAATACAAAGCTGTCTGTTAATGGCCATAGGTTTGCATCAGCATGCTTTGTTCTTGATTGTTTTCCTCCCATCCACCAGCTGAGGGTTTGGGCAGCAGAGAGCGCCTTCCTATTGGCCATGCAGCCGCAGAGGGACATTCAACTGTCCCATCCCAGGAAGGCAGCGCGGAGGCGGGGCGGCCGGGGACTGTGAGCGGCTGGCTCTCTGTGGGGCTCTTTATCATGCCGAACTGATTCCTTTCTCAGACTTTGTGGACTATTTTAACCCCATCATTCAAACCAAACATTTTACTGTGAGGAAGCTCCTGCTTTATATTTTGATTTTTGTTTTGGGTTTGGAGTGACGGACCCTATGTGACGGACCTGCGCCGGCTGAGGCGCTCCGGGGCCAAACAATACTAGATCACAACAAAGGACACAAGGTGAGAAACTACTCCGATTAAATAAAAAACACTTAAAAACGACGAGTATGAATGTAACCACCTGTCACTCTGGAGGAAAAATGACGTTTTGGTGCAGTATTTTATTTTTTTAATGCATGATGCTTTTCTTAACACTTTGCTTATAGTAAATGAGCGTCTTTAAAACGATGAGTGATGAGTATTAATTCACTTTTCTTGCCAATTCATTTTTTTTTTGTCTAAGTTTGATGTGAATCTACAGACACAGGAACTGTTTTTCAGGTCAGCTGACTCCTGAATGTCAGCTGGATAAAGTGTTGACATATCAACACCAGTCCTATGCTGATCATTATTTATTTTGGAAAAAAAAAAACTAAGAAAAACCGTGAAAAACTTCCAAATAAAGAAGCAACAGTCCGTTTCTTCTGAGTCCATTACAATAATACTCTGACCAGCTGCCTTTCTCTGGATGAATATCCTGTTTCCTGGACTAAACATACAATAGGATACAGCCAGGCGTGTGATATCCTGCCACATCTAGCAGATAAAAACACCCCTCAAAATATACACATACAGGGGTTTGCCAAAATGTTCATATCATTTATATTTTTAAACATTTAATATGTTAAAGCGCTAAACCAAAGTACATTATGACAACTTAATGAGATAGACCAACACAAAGTAATGTACCGGTATAAATATGCAGTAGGAGAAAAATATATTCAGTATTCAGCTCCCTTTAAAATGATACTCCTAAATAAGAACAGTACATGTGCCAAATAGGGCAAGAGCTGCAATATTTTGGCTGAAAACTCTGATGTATCAATTACAATCAATCTATATTTTCTATAACTTTTTTATTTATTTTACATGTTCATAATAGCCAAAACCCTTTCGCTGAGCATTTGCATCTTAATTACCAAACATCTATATCAGGTACTGGCATCAAGGGGCAGCTAAAGTCAATCCAGTTTGTAAGATTTATTCTACTGCTAATGGACAGGAAAGGATGGCTGTTATAACACAACGTTCAAGTGAATGTTGTATCCAGGAAGCTCTTTTTGATTGCTGTGATTTAATTTTACACACATTGTTATAATGGTGATATAATTTGATAAACTGTGCAGCTTTAGATGACTATATTGATAACCTTAGTTTGGATGAGGTATACACTGACCAAAGGAAACAGATTTTCTTAATTTTAGTGGATCTGCAATTGGTCAAAACTTACATGTCAAAAGAGATTTTTTTCTTATCCCTATCAATAAAAGGTCTGAAAATCACCCACTGCCAAGGATAGTGCTCTCATATAATTTTAAGAGCACTATTCTCTACGCAGTTTAAATAAATTTGTTTCGTTTCAAGAGTATTAATGTTTTTTAGTAAAGATAGTACTGAAACATTGAAGGTTCGCCCCTAGTTTGGACCCATCTCCATGGTAATAAGTGGTGGTGAGTAACGCTCTGTCTTACCAGGGAAGGAGAAGCTAGCTGAGTTTATTGGGAATCTAACCAGATCTAAATACAGGTTAGGGAATAGAGCCAAGAGAACTGAGAAATTGTTGCAATTAGTGCGGCAACTAATGGTTATTTTGCAAATAAATTAATCTGTTGATTATTTTTTTCAATTAATCAAATAATAATTGGATAGCCAAATGTTCCTTAAAGAAAACTTTTGCTTTTCCACTTGAGGAGTTCTGGATAGAGCATATTGACAGACAAAAAAGATTTTTATCTTAAATGTGAAATGTTTACCTATTTATGTATTTTTTTTTTTACAATTTTTGCATAATTGCTGCTCTAATTGGGTTGCTCTCTCAACTAAAAGCACGTTTTAGAATCTCAACACTGAAGTTAACGATTAATCAATTAGTTGACGTTATTAGTTATTTCAATAATCAATTAATCATGATTCAGCACTAGTTGCAATACTTAAATATGGATGTCTGTAGGTGCTTTATATTGATTCTGATTAAACCTTAAAAATAACATAAAACAATAATTCAGTAGAGAGTCCAAGCTGGTGTAGAGATAAGTCAGAAGACAGACAGCTGTACATAAAGCCAAAAGTGGTAATCATTCATGTTTTTTTGATTTGTCCAATAAAAATCTCAACTTGCCGGTAATCTCTGTTGAAGAATTAAAATAATCAAAATAAATATTTTCTTTGTAAAGTGGTATGAATTGAAAACACGTTGAGATGTTGTCTTCCTGTCACAGCCTCAGGTCTGAGAAAACACAGAGACAGGAAGATGTGAGAGAAAGATACAGAACAAAGGCCGAGGCTGCCTTTCTTTGTGTAGGTGACTATTTGTGTTTCATAGGAGCAACATGTGCTGCCTCTTTTTTATCTGGCTGTCGGAGGGACTAAATACAAATGCAGCTCCGCTTTTTGTGTTGACTCTCAGTCTGGGATGTTCCTCTTTTTTTTAATGAGGTCAGCGCTTCTGATTCAATAAAGCTATCAACTGTTACAGGCAGTTCCAGCTACACCGCTCAGTTTGGCACATGGTAGCCAGGGTTTTATCTGTAAAGGTGTGTTTAGGAGCATAAACATTCCACCTGAGCAGTGTGACTGGAGCTGATGAAGTGTTCCCACCTTTCCTCAAAAGCCTTGTTTAGTGTGAGAAGTTGATCATCAGCATTTTCCCCTGGCTTTCCCACATATTGTTGTTAATAGGATCTTTGTTCAGTTTTGGATGAGAGCCTTTGCTGGTTGGGTATATGATACAGCACCTATGCTGGTCTGCAACATTCAACACTAGCTGTAGTTCAGGTTGGACTGGTTATGCGTGTAAATGTCCTCAACCCAGAAAGATCAAGCCCTTGATTGCAGCCTGTGTCAGATGATAGGTATGTACGGTAAAAATTGCTAGTTGTATAAGGAACTTAGTTTTAAGCAGATAATTAAAAGTAGAATTCAGCATTCTGCTGGTGCAAACTAAAAATGTTGGAAACATGGCTTGAATAAAATTTAGAGCCAAAGCATCCTAAGATTTTTTTTTACAATGTAAGAGTTCTGTAGGTATGAGAATCACAGATACTTTTAGGAGTCCAAACAATTCACCTATTGTAACAAAGTTACTGTACAGCAGCATGAGCCAACAACAATGTTAAAAGAAAAGGAAATACATATTTTCAGGTATAAAATAATTTTTTTTTACAATAATATCCGCATTATAATTTAGAGTACTATGATTGTGTACTAGTGCAGCAAATTGAAATATAATAATTTAAAAAGCCTTCACTGTTTCAACAATTATAAGATGTGAAGATAGTTTATCAATTTATAGTAATTATTACTCATTAATGGGCAGCCTTTGGAGATGTGAAGAGCAGCAACTGATTCACCTTTTGCACAGAATTACAACAGTGGCATCACATACAGGTGTTTGTCCTGCAACCTGACAATCCCCAGTTTGAACCTAGCTCCGTACGTCACAGTCTTTTGGGACAACACTTCACCCGAATTGCGAGGGTGCCTGTGCTGTGGACGAAAGCCTTGCTTCAATCTGGAAACCCCAGGGCAGATGTGGCTAAAAATGTAGCTTGCATAGTGTGTGAAGTTGTGCATAAATGGATAAAGAGCTGAAATATATGGCCTTTTAATACTACGAAACATACTAAAGTATCTGTTATAGGAAAATCTGCTGTCATTATTAAACAAGTAAATATTTATTTGTATTTGGGTTTTTAAAAAAAATGTTATTTAAAGAGGAAGCATAGATTCTTGTATAGTATACTAATATTTGTGGAACATTATAATAAAACTAATGCCTTGCAGCAAGAAGGTTCCAGGTTTGATTCCCGGCCCAGGGTCTTTCTGCATGGAGTTTGCATGCTCTCACCATGCAGACAAGGGTTCTCTCCAGGTTATCTGGTTTCCTCCCACAGTCTAAAAACATGTCTGTTAGGTTGATTGGCTTCTCCAAATTCTCCTTAGTGCCTGAATGTTTGTTTGTCCTGTTTGTTTCTGTGTTGCCCGGCAATAGACTGCCGACCTGTCCATGGTCAAGGATCCAACGAGCCACTTGTGGTTGTGAACCGCAGGTTGCTGACCCCTGGTATAGTTAAGGAGTTAATTTAACTTCCTTCATATGGCAGTGGCAAGAATACATCTATTTGCCAAAGTCAACCATATTCTAGAGTTTTCTGAAGCAAGTCAAGAGTAATTCTAACCTACACAGAATACTCTGCAATAACAGAAAGCTGCACAAGGACAGCATTCAGTTTTTTCAAATTTCCAAATCCCCTAAAATAGAGGACTTTTCTCGAAACTCTTTAAATATACTCATTTATTTATACATCTCTGTTGTCTAAATTGATCATAAATAGTTTAGCGTAATAAAGACAATACATTGTAGAACAAAACTTGTGAAAATTTGTGGTTACAAAAAAAAACACAAAAAAGCCTGGCAGTTGTAGCTGTTGTTTTAGGGCAGTTGATCAATTGTTTTGGTCTGACTTCTGTGTTGATTACTGATTTTTATTGCACAATCTGGTTGTTGCTGCTCTGAGCACCTCTGGGCTTCAAAGCAGACTGATCAGAGAGCTGAAGAGCAAAGTGGGACTGGAGCAAATGGGGGCAAAATCCGGATCAGAGGGAAAGTAGGCACAAGCAAGTGTAAATCCGGGGTTAATTGCCCTGCCATCAGACCACTAACCTACTTTCAGATTAATGAAGACAGATTATTCTGTCATTTACAGAGTAAAAGTGTTTGTACCTATATTGTAAAATTACTTCTATGAATTTTGAAAAAAAAAAAGAACATACATACAGAAGACCAAATTTTGATAATATTTAGACAAAGTAATATAGATGTATATCATAAATGACCAAAAAAAAAACGTTATTAAAAGCCATTCTTGATGTTTCAGAAGATACACTTCAATAATCTGTTCAGACCAAAGTTTCTCAGCCTGTGTCCTGATGCACAGGAACCAACAGCTGCATTGACTAAGATTGGCAAAAAAGACAAAAAAGTTTGTAAGCAATCAGGCAGAGCTGTATAAAGCTGTAAA